CGTACCAGCCTTGGGCTCTGTGCTAGAGGGCAGTGGGAAAAGGGAGCAGTAGATGTGAGGAATTAAATATACATGACATGCTCTCCATCCCTTGCAAAGAAGAACTTGTGGTCTAGTGCAAGAAAGAGAGATGAAGTCCTGCCTGATGGACCCTGTTTACTTTTCCACTTCATCTGCCACTCTTCTCTTTGCCTGGGTTCTAGCCCTAGAGACTCTGAGTTCCCCCAGCAAGATAAGAGATTCCCCCTCTTCCTACTGTCCCTCCCGCCAAGACACTCCTGTCCCTGCCCTTTGCATGAATGCCCTCTCCCACACCCTGGCCTCTGGCTTAAGAGGCATCTCTTTAGCTAGACGGTTCTTAACTGCCATGTCTAAACAGATTCCCCAACCCGCTCGCAGTAACTTGGTGCTTGCTACAATGTTTGCTCTTATGTATTTATTTGTTTGTTTCCTTGCTTACTCACTTTTCCCTTCACAAAATGGATGTGCAATCACATCAATTTTATTCACTAATGTGATCTCTTTAGATAGCAAGGCTTTCAAGACTATACTTTCAGGGATCATTTCTATAGTTCGTTACAAGAATCGCAAGGCTTTCTACAAGTATGTGTGGAATAAGTGCAAGATCATTTCAACACAACATGGCAAGCACTGGGCTGGAGTTGTGTTTCAGTGCTGGGGGGCCACAGAAGACAGCCATCTAATTCATTCTTACAGAGCCTAAAGGAGGGCATCTCAGAGGCTGGCTGTGCCTACCCAAAGCCCATCCCCCTCCCCACCCCCACCCAGTACTCTGCCTGTGCATGCCACCACTTTCTAACACAGACTGTCACTTGGCTAGAGGGGTTTCTCTGCCTTGGCTAACACATGGAGAAGGTGTCCAAAGGTGCCCAGAGAAGTGGGGTTGGTTTAGGTAGCCTGGGCATCCCAGCTCCCTTGCCCCTGGGTGGGACAACTCTGAAATACAGCCTTCAGTATTGCCAGAAGCCCCAGCAGTTCACCATTCATTAAAATGATTTCCAGAGGCTTCCTTTCTTGTCTTAGTTCCCCACCTCCTATTAGTTCTTCCAGGGATCCCTCCCTTATACATTGCTTGCATTCAGATCCTCATCTCAGGTCAGCTTCTGGAATATCTCAGTCTAGAAGAGAACAAGTGATCAGATTCTTAAGATATGCCAAGTTCACTAGAGAAGAAGTAAAAGAATATTTGAAGAGACAGGATCCCCTTAGCCCAGGGAAGAGACTCAAATCCCTACTACCAGCCAGGCATGTTTCCTTCCTCGAGGGTCGGATTTGGGTTTTGCCTGGACCCCTGCAAAGCACTCACAGGAAGAGATAGTAGGTGATTGGCCGGCCATATTAGCGTATTAGACTTGCTACTTCAGAGCCAAGAGCACAGTTCAGTGCAGGTGGACTGAAGGTTCTAAATCCAAAATAACACATTGCAACTCAGCCTGGTGCCTTCAGGAATCTTTAAGCAAAGAGCTTCTTTGTGTCTTTTCCCTTTTTGAAATACAACTCAAGAGCCAGGAATGTGATGCCTAATGCTGAAAAGGAAACCTTGTACAAACCGTTCCTTGAAAGCCAGCATGTAGAGTGTTCATAAATTTTATGATGTGTGAAGCACATGTTCAAGGAAGTATTTATTAGTAGGCCGTAAGTTAAATTAGAAAGGGTGGTTCATGCCTTAAATATTCCGTCATTTTCCATACTGTTTATGTATCCAGACCCAAGTGTGAAATTTAAATTTGCTTTTAATGTGTTCACCTGACAAATGATTTACTCTTGTCAATGTGTCTTCTCTTGAGTCCACAGTAATTCTGTTCTGTGGTTGGGGGAGAACAGTGGAGGTGCTTCAAAATCACTTTTTCAATGTTAAATTTTCTGTGCAGGTACATGAAGTGATTTTACTGGTAGATTTATTGAAACATAGTTTATTTCTCACCGCAAATTAAAATATTTTATATTGCGGATGCTAAGCTGAGTTTAGAAACTGGGTAATCAGAGTACTATCTTGGAAAATCACGTTTAGCACAACTGAACAGATGAGTGGTTGGTATTAGGATACAGGTTCTATAACGAGCTGTGGCCCTTGTTTGCTGATTTCTGTAAAGTCCTTGCCGGGGCATGCCAGAATGAGAGCTAGAGCTGGAAAATGGTGAACTTTTGCAGAACATGAAAGGCATTGTAACCACCCTCTGATAGTAAAATCCTATAAATCTGAAATTACTTACAGTAGAGACTACGCTGTGTGTAGTACTGAGAGCCTTGCTTTATATTGGAGTCTCAGTGTGAATATGGTTAATTTTATACATGGAAAGAGTAATAAGTTTATTGAAAGAACCTAAGTTATTCTGCGATTTTAAAACAAAAAAATACTGTGTGTGCACATGTGTATGCACATGTGTGTTGTCCTATAATGGGAAAACGAATCATATAGAAACAAAAACTCATTAAAACATGCTATAAGTGGGGGTGCCTGGGTGGCTCAGTCGTTAAGCATCTGCCTTCGGCTCAGGTCATGATCCCAGAGTCCTGAGATCGAGCCCAGCATCCAGCCGGGAAGCCTGCTTCTCCCTCTCTCACTCCCCCTGCTTGTGTTCTCTCTCTCGCTGTCTCTCTCAAATAAATACAATCTTAAAAAAAATGTTATAGATGTATGTAGTTTGTGTCCTAAGGAGACCCTCCTTGAAGCCACAAAGTACTCGAAATATGAACTCAAAGTTTTTAAAACGTTCACATTTTGGAAAATGTTTTTTCAATCTGTGTATTCTACTTCCCTGACTCACAGTCACTGACACTCTCTGGAAAGTGATAATGGCCTTAAGTAAAACCAAACCAGCTTGGAGCCCTGAAATACACTGGCATAAATTAAAGAAGTGAAGCTAGCTGATTTTTCAGCCTTGGTTCATTACACAAAAGGTGGACAGCAATGTCGTACAATGAAACCTACTCGTTGTGTTTTTTCTGCATCTAAAATCCTGAATAGAAGCCAAGCTTTATTTTTCATTTTTTTAAATTCCATCATTTCTTGGCTTTTGGGCTCAGATCAAGTGTAGTATTTTTTTTTAATTCCAGTATAATTAACACACAGTGTTATATTCAAGGTTTATCTTTAAATACCCATACCTGAGCAAGTTCAGACAAAGTGGTCCTAAGTGTAACTTGCTTTGCTTTCTTTTTTATCTAGTAGATTTCCTTTGTAAGGGACAGAATAAATGATGGACATGCAGACATAAGGCATAAAAATACATGTGACAACAGTATTTCAAGGCACCACTTGTTTATTTTATGCGTAGTTGTTAAAATTATAGACTTTGGAATCGGTTGTCTGGATTTGACTAACTTGCCCTGCAAATCATTAGCTCTGTGTGATTTGGATGGCTGTTCCCTTCTTTATAACTTGGGAATGCTGAAAGCATCTAGTGGGTATTTTTATTGTGGACATTAAAAGAAATAACATATGGAAAGCACCGAGCACTGTGCCTAACATCTAGAAAGGAGTCAGTAAATACCGACTATTACTATAGGTGGTGAGAATAGTGGTTTTCTACTATGTACTATGCACTATACTAGGCTCTTTGCCTGATCAACAAATGGCCTGCACAGTAAATAGAGTTATGGCTCTTTTACAAATTAAGAGATGGAGGCTCAGAAAGGACACCAAGAAACTATCTAGTAAGATGCAGGACAATGATTCAAATCCAGGCCCCTCTGCCTCCGTTCTTGACCTTATTAATATCCTGGTCCATATGGTACCAGCTGCATATGTTTGGCTGGTGGCTAACTAGCTGATGGGAGAGCAGGAGGTGGCCTCCTGAACCTGCACGCATCTTTTCACAATCTATTGCTACTATCTGACTCCTTAGAAATCCCTGTTGGACATCAAAGAGAAGGGAATGATTTCCAGTCTACAACAACTACACAGGAACACTGATCCATTCCTCATTCTTAAACTGGGAGCTTGGGGCTGTTTTCCATAACACGATATATATTCCCCAGTTTGAGAAGTGAGGCTTGCTTAGGATGACATTGAGATCATAAGATCTCATTCTGTCACTTATTCAGAAGATTTGCCTTCCTAAGGCAGGTTCTTTCTTCTAAAACTGAAAAAATCAAATGGATTAGCTTGAGCTAGGTCTCTCCTGAATGCAGTTGTTAATATCTGAGTTATTTCCTTTGGCAAAATGACATCTCTGTGTTCTGCCTCCTTTGGGGAGAGCCCGGTTTGCAAAGCAAATTATTTTTTCCATTTCATTTCCTTTCTGTTTCTTCAAGTAAACTTTTCTCATGAGCATTTGATCATGAGGAATCAGAAAGCTAATGAAAGCACTTGACTTCATCTACGGTCATGTTGTCATCAAAGGATCATTTGCATAGAAAATGCAAAATGCATTTTCTATGCATCCCAGGAGCACACCTTTCATCTTTTCTTCCCCATGGATAGGTTTTTTTGTTTTGTTTTGTTTTTACTCCAAAGAATGATTTGACCTCAGAGAAAGCTTCTGATCAGGTGAAATAAGAGGAAGACGGAGCTGTACCCACCAAGGCAAACACTCCTCCCACCTCTAGGAATGTGCATATACTATTCTCAGTCCATCATCCAGATTTTATCATCTATTTGGAGTTGAACAATGTGACGTGGCCATTAAAATACACAGTATCTCAGTAGAGACGTTTCTAAGCAGAGTCCAGGCAAAGAAGCCCTATGGATGTATAGCTCAAGAGCTATCCATGAGCTAAACATTCTCTCGACAAATGAGCTTAGTGAATATATACCTGTCATGGGTTTGGCAGTGGTAGGCAGGAGGTATATAGTAAACTGGCATAGCCCCAGGGAAGAAAAGTTAGTAGCTTGAGCAATTCGAGTATGATTGAAATTTCGTAAATCCCACGAGAAATGAAAGCTCAACTTCAATGAACTAGTCCCTTCTCTGAGGTTCTCATTTTATATAGAAACAATGTAATCTCATCTGGTTTCTTCTTTTTCTTATTCACAGAATGTCAGTACTGGGGCGCCGAGCTCCAGCTACCCACACTGGATTTTGAAGATGTTTTAAAAAATGATGAACATGCCTACAAGTGGCTCTCTGCCCTCAAGAAAGTAGGCATAGTACGACTCACGGGAGCATCTGACAAACGAGGACAAGTTTTAAAACTTGGGAAAAGGATCGGTTTCCTTTATCTCACATTTTATGGGTGAGTTACCAAAGAGTTTGTATTCTGCCACTGAGTATAAAGTTTGGTATATTTCCCAGAAGGAAGAGACTCTTTTGATTGGAGATAACAAAATTTTCATAATGCCCTGAGCAGGAAGTCAGATGAGAAGACATGTCTAAAAGTGGGATTTCTCTGAGAATAACTGAGATTTTAAAGGATCCTAAAATCCAAAAGACATCAGACATCAAAGCCAGGCTAGTTATAGATGGCAGGTTAGTTTCCTAGGGCTGCCATAACAGAATACTATAGACTCGGTGGCTTAAACAACAGAAAGTCATTTCCTCAGACTTCTGAAAACCAGATGTCCAAGAGGAAGGTGGCTGCAGGTTTTGTTTCAGTGCGAGCTCTCTTCCTGACGTGGAGATGGCCACTCTCTCACTGGGTTCTCACATGGCCTTTCCTGTCTGTCCCTGCACTGCTGGTATCTCTTCCTCTTCTTATAAGGACCGCAGTCCTGTTGGAGAAGGGCCCCAACCTTAAGACTTCATTTAACCTAATCACCTTCTTAAAGGCTCCATCTCCAAATCCAGTCACGTTGATGGTCAGGGCTTCAACATTTGATTTTGGGGAGAATGCCCTTCAGTTCATAGCAGGTAGCATGGAAGACCATGTTTCTCCAAGACTTTTATAAATGCGAAGTTCATTAAAGTTTTACTGCCCAAGACTTGGTGAAAAAAAAAAAAAAAATAGGGCCCTGGGGAACTGAAACCAGCCACCAGCTGTGTTAAAAAAGATAAAACTAATATGCAGAAAATTAGGTCTATGCACTTCGGCAAGGAACAGGAAATGTATTTGATTTTAACTTTGGAACAAGAAGCTGTTTGCATAAGAATTGCCTGGGAGGTAACATTCATTATGGATAATGAAACTCTAACAACAGGAAACACTTATTTGGAAGTGGGGGGTATGAGTGTATTTCTAAACTGTAGGGTGAACCCTCGTGCGGGATGTATATAATTATTCTTGGGCTCATGGAGCAGAGGGCACTGGGAGTGAAAAGGACCTTTAAAATCCAAAGGTTGCAAAACTGGTAGCACACAGGCTGTATTCAGATATGTTTTGGTTGGCCCACAGGATGTTGAAAGAAAAGAATTAGTTGTCAACACTAAAAAACTGGGAGATTTTACATTAAATATGGATCTGACTTTTCTTGAAAAATCAAATTTGGCAACAACTGAGACTCAATCCCTGCATGCCAGGAGTCTGTTTGGTGTAAGTGGAGGCTGCCCCTTGAAGAGAGCATGTGCTCACACTCCAGTTGCACAAATCATGTGTGGTCCCCCCACCCCCACTCAGACCTGCAGGAGCCCTGCCTGCCTTTGAGTTTGCCACCCCTAATCTAGAGTAAGACCCTGTCTGTGGATAAACAGAGAATCAAAAATAACTAATCTCTTGCCCCCAATGATTTGATCAAGTTTATTCATGGCAGAAGACTATCGTGTGTAGACTTAGATGACCCCACTGCTACCCCGACCCCAAGAACTTACTGCTACCATTAGCACACAGTGAGCTACTGAATTTTTATCTTCCCTACATCTGCAAGAATTTAAGCTGTTTGGGGTTCAGTTGGTCAAGCAGCCAACTTTTGAGTTTGACCCAGGTGACAGTCTCAGGATCATGGGAGTCTGCTTGAGATTCTCTCTATCCCTCTGCCCCTTCCCCCACTCATGTGCACTGCACTCGCACTCTTTCTCTCTATAAAATACATAATTTTTTTTTTAAATTTAAGCTGTTTTGCAGATCGTATAAGTAACAATAGATAAAGAGTTGGAGATAGTCTTGAAATTATTAAGAGCCTCCATCTAATTATTTGTTCTTTATTTATCATTCACAATTTTCTGAAATAGGTAACTTCCTCCAGTTCACTGATAAGGAATCTGAATTCCAGAGAATTAAACTATAACCCAAGTTTTCACAGGTAGTAGAAAAGGAACCAGAGTTAGAATCTGGGGCTGCTTTATCCACGGGCTTCCTAATCCACCTCACTATCAATGATATTAAGGAAGAACATGGGAGGATGCTTTTAGTCATCAGAAGTAAACAGAATACTTCAAAATAAATCTCTTCTATATTTTTCTGCTTAGTTTTATTTGCTGACAATGAGATTTTTGTATCTATGCAACACATGTCACAATTTCACAACAGTAGCCAAATTGGGGGGGAGGGGTCTCTTTGTTATAGTATCCTAATGCTCCCCCTCACCCAACACATTTAGGGTCAGCTTCTTAGTCCTGATTTATGACTTGAATTTTGTTTTGTTTTATTATAATTTTGCCACTGATCTAATTGATCTTATCTTGTGAAGTTTATTGGAATAAATACTCAAGGTTTGTTGTCAAAAACAAATCAGACCTCCTACTACCGTTGCATTTCCTTTGTCCAAGACCTTTGCATCTAACTGGATAGGTTTAACCTACTCAATCTCATCTTCCATGCAGAGAATCACATTTCTTTCCTGAATCTCTCAAACTATACCACAGGCCAAGAAAGGCCTTTCTGACAACCTTACTGCTACTTCTACAACATATTACCAAGATCTCTATAGGTTTGTTTGTTTGTTTGTTTTCAATTTTAATTTTTAATTCTTTACCTCAAGAACTTATAGAAGAGGGCAGTTTTGCTGTTGTTGCTTTGTTTTTATTTGTGGCTTATGTGTTTTTTAAGAGAATGAGAAAAACGAATATTTTCCTGAAGTGATTTTCCCTTTCTGCCTCCTCCCACGTAATGTGGAAAATGATGTTAAAATTTCTGTGACAGGAGATTCAAAAGAAGGGATATTTAGAGCAATAGTTCTCCACTGAGGTTACACATCAGAATAGCCAGTTTTAAAAATGCTGACATCTGTGCCCATTCTCCATGGATTTTTCAAAACAGGATTTGGATTTGACCTGATTATCAGGAATTTTAAAAACCCTGCAGGTGATTCTTGTGTGTAGCTAAGGTTACAAACCTCTAGTTGAGAAGAGGATTATTTCAAAAGAAGGCAGGTCTCAGTTGGTGTAGAATTTGGGTGCTTTACACTCTCTCAGCTCTCACAGTTATGTACACCAAGTGTCATTTTTCATGCTCTTCTTTGTGGTGTGGTAATGCCTGGACATGACTTATCTTTATAAGAGACTCAGTAGCTGCCTTCAATGTGGTCCTTTCTTTAATAGCTTTGTTTCTCCACTGGCAAAGAGCCTTACTATTGTCCAAAAATAATTGGCAGGTGAGTGAGAGAATGCAATGAATAAATGAAGGCAATAAATAATGGAGAGGAGGGATTGCCATAGATAGAAGGATGGAGAAAGGAAAGTGGGAAGAAGAAGGCTAAAGGCTAATTTTGCGTCCCATGTAGATTTTTCAAGAAGCCTGGTTTCTACTTTTGCTTAAATGCCAAAAATATAAATAGCTTGGTGCTACTTTACACATGTCTTCTTTGGGAAACAAATATCCACCTAGCACTTTCCCATTCAAATAGAATTACTAGTTTGGAGAATTTGAATGCATGGGTCTAAAGTGAGAATTATAATATCTACTTTTGGTTCTTGGCTGTCATCTCAATTGTTAAAGCATCGATTAGACAAACAAAACCAGTGGATCCCAGCATTTTGCATAGACTTAGCATATAGTAGGTAAGGAATAAATGTTTAATGATAGATACACACCTAGATGTTTTCAAAAAACTATAAAGCAGCAAGTGAATACAAAAATTATTAGAGCATTTCATAATCATAAAATTAGATTAAAATACTAAATCAAAATGGTAATAGCTTTGAGGACAAAAGTAGATGTCATTTCCATGTCTACATTTTCTCAGATGATTATCATTATTTTGTCAGTGCATCATCTAGACAATATTTTTTTCATGCAACTCTGTGAAATGCTCAGCAACCTTACTGCTTGATGATGAAAGCTTACCTGGGAGAAAAGAATAAGACTTGGTAAAGAAGCTCTCATTGTCAATTTTGTCCCACCAGAGATAGCTGGTAAGGGATAATCACAGCACTATGTAATAAGATAACATTTTCAGAAGGATTTAGACCTTAAAGTTGGATCAATATAGTTTTTACAGGGTAGGGTCAAGAGCCTCCTCTCATGCCCCTTAACTTCCTCCCCAAAAAATCAATAAAAATATCTTTCTGAATAATTTCTCTTTTAAATTTTTGTTTATTTTTTTAAATTTATGTATAATTAATTTACAGACTTATACTCAATCCAGGTGTGCAATATAACACTCAGCAATTCTACATGTTACTCAGTGCGCCTCACAATAAGTGTATTCTTGATCCCCTTAATCTGGTTCATGCTCTCCCCATCCACTTTCCTCTAGCAACCACCAATTTATTCTTTGTATTTAAGAGTCTGTTTCCTTGTCTCTTCCTTTTTTTGTTCATTTGTTTTGTTCCTTAAATTTCACATGTGATATGATATGTGTCTTTCTCTGACTCACTTATTTTGCTTAGCATTTTACCCTCTAGATTCATCCATGCTGTTGTAAGTGGAAAGATCTCATTCTTTTATAGCATAGTATATACACTACATCTTCTTTATCCATTCACCTATGGATGGACATGGGCTGCTTTCATAGCTTGGCTATGATAAATAATGCTATAATAAACATAGGGGTGCATGTATCTTTTCAAATTAAAATGTTTCTGTTTTCTTTGGGTTAATACCCAGTAGAGGAATTACTGGATTGTATGTTAGTTCTATTTTTAATTTTTTGAGAAACTTCCATACTGTTTTCCACAGTGGCTTCATCTATTTGCATTCCTACCATCAGTTTGCGTTCCCACTTGGGTTCTCACCAAGAGTGCATAATTCCTTTTTCTCTACATCCTCACCAACACTTGCTGTTTCTCATGCTTTTGATTTTAGCCATTCTGACAGGTATGAGATGATATCTCCTTGCAGTGTTGATAATAATTTCTTAATTGAAGAAATTATCTGAATTTATGACACAATCTAGCCCAATGGGAAAGAGTCATTATAAACTA